CAGCGCCCGAGACCAGGCAGACACGGTCAATCTCTCACACACACACACACACACACACACACACACACACACACACACACACACACACACACACACACACACACACACACACAAAGTAGCCTATCTCCAAGCAACTCACAAACATAGAGACACAGCTACATCCACCAGGGTCTTTTCTGCCATATAAACACATGTGCAAGAAGCCATGACACTTTGAGGAACCATCCATGTGCTTTCAGGTGAAGACTGCCAGCCAGAGTGAGCAACTCTGCAGGGTCTTAGAGAAAGCTGGATTTCCACAAGACATGGTCCACTACGGTCAATGAGGAGCCAAACACTTCAAGCACAGCGACACTGCTCTCACGGACATATATAAATGGACACATGTCTACAGCATGGCACGAGGAGGAGTGAGAGGGACAGGACACAGCCCAGTGCTGTGTCTTGCACCAAACAGTTGATCTATTTTAGCTGTCGTCAATAGATCCCTGTGTTGAAACTGGTAAAAACCACAGGAATACCACAGTAACAGCACAGGATTAGGCAGGAGAAGCAGGGAGAAAGAGAGGTAGAGTATGATGATGTGGGAGGAAGAGAGGAGAGGATGGACTAGGATGGGACCCTGCTGTTATAGAGTCAGAGTTACCGCGAACATCTGGAGTTGGGCTTGCCCCGCCTCACAGACCTGAGAGACGGAAAGATGCAGTTTAACCACTGAGAGAGAGAAAGTGAGAGAGCTGGAAATTGAGTTTAGTGTTAAATTAAAGAGGAATGTAGAGGAATTAATGCTCTAAAGCAGAGGTCTTCAACAGGGTACTGAACGGGGTCTGCTAATTATTGTATGAGCTTAGACTAAAATTGTAGAAAAAAATATGTATTCAATACATGTAATCAATAAAGAATTACAATTATAAAATAATAAACAATTATATACAAGAATAATAACATGTAAAATATTTTCTTTAACCAAACTAACATTTAAAAATGTCAAATATATAATCATACACATCATACAAAATAATTATGTACAAATATTTTCTTCAGCCAAACAAATAATTATAGTATAATATATAGTCATATAATTATTATATTAAATCAATTACCAAAACTAAGGCCCTTGAACTGAAAAAGTAAAATACCCCTGCTCTACAGTAAAATGAGGGCGAGTACAGGACAATATATATATTTTTTATCAATACACAAAATAAGTTTGGCTATAGTCCTGGAGTGTCTCTGAGTTCCTCTGTACACACTGAAATTGCTATACTGTATGTACTTACCCACGCATTCTCTTCTTGTACCACAAGATGGCACCAATCACTAACAGTGCAAGTAATAGCAGTAACATCACTGGGATGACCACTGATGGAGTATCTACACAAAGAAGAAACATGCATTATTATTGCTCAGATTTCTATATAGCAACAGGCACACCTTACCTTATCAAACTGAATATGAATCTGAGAGAGATGTAAAGAAATGCTGGCACTTACTTCCAGAGTCTAAGTTTTTAACAGGGGTGACGTTGAGCTCACAGCGGAAACCTGACCGGTCCGTGTGACACCTACATAACACACACACACACACACACACACACACACACACACACTTTACATCACTGGCAATCCTTACAGTGTTTAGTTCAAACTCGGCTATTCTATTGTCGCTGCAATTCTAACAGAGAATCTTGTTAATATAGGTTTTAAGATCATGCTAGACAGGTTTGTCAGCTATCTCAAGTACAGAACTCAGGACATTCAGGTAGATTATCTTTTATCTGGGATACCACAAGGTTCAGTACTAGGCCTACCTTTGTTTTCCATTTTCTTTAATCTATTTGCAGTCTAATTTTCCATTTTATGTGGATTTTATCTATTGGTGTTTTTTCTTTTTACATTTTACCAACAAAACATTTGCAAGAACGTAAAAGCAATTTCTTTTATACAGCTCTGTCCACTTTACCTGCACTGTGGCAGCATAGTATGAGGGTCTACAGAGCACTGGCCCTCAATGCAGAAGTCATCACAGGTGTAGCAGGTGGGCCGCTGGATGTTATTAGCGCATCTACACAGAAGAACATAAATTATCATAGCACCCACATAAACAGTACACAACTGATTCAAATCCATATTTATACAACTCATTATTTCAAACAAGCTAAGGCTTAATGCTGGAAGACTGAAAGCCCAGTGAGTCGAATATGCTGGTACGTACTTGCATATTATCCTGCTGCGTAGCACTTCACACTTGCCCGTGCCACAGTATTCACACTTGCTCAGTTCACATTGAGGACCAAAGTACAAGTCAGAACACTGGCACTGCATAGTGCCGTTCATCGTCTCCATACAAGTTCCTCCATTCTTACAGAAGTCCTCACATTGACCTGCACAGATTGATTTCAGGTACTTATTCGACTTTATAATGTATGTTTCATTTATTAGTAAGACTTTTGTTTGTATGCAAACAGCTAATAAAAAAAAAACATTAGGACATTCGATATTTTATAAATGACTGAATACTCTGTTTAGGGTGACAAGTAGTTAAACTCACTGTACTGGCACTGGTCACCCAGGAAGCCCTTTGGACAATGGCAGGTTGGCTGGTTGCCCTGGTTGACAGTGCAGTTGCCCCCATTATGGCAGTAGTTGTTGCAAACGTGCAGGTTACATTTGGGGCCAGTGAAGCCAGTCTGACAGCGGCAGGTAGGAGCACCTGAAGAGAGGAAACCGAAAGTGTTGCTGATGTACCTATAGCAACTGTCCCGAAATGCGAGTGAAAGTCTTGTATCGCAGCGTGCAGCGGCTCTTGTAGCGCAGACGAGATGCGCCGATGTGAAGCCGTTTGAAGAAAAAAAATCAAAAAGAGAAGACGCATACAGCTGAATCACTCACGCTGTTTTCAAATGACTGATTTGATCAGTCTGTGTGGACTGGACTCAGTCTGTAGGTTTGATTATTTACTCAACAAATAATCTACATGCTATTGAATAAATGTGTGAATAGCCATCATTTTAAAGTCAAAAGCTGCGGGAATGAGTAAAACTATGCGATATAACCTATGCGCAATACCGCACCGAAAATCAGGACCTGATTAAACACAATTCTATTATACAGAGTTTTGTGAAATAGATTTCAATGACTTTTCCAAAACTTTCTGGGTTTATTTATTTTTCCAAAACTTTTCCAGGCCTGGAAATTGGTGTTTTAAACAAACAACAGAATTGGTGTTCCAGGTTTTTCATGACCGTATGAACCCTGTATAGAGATAAATATGCAGAGCCCTGGCCACGATGGCACAATGTGTCTGTGAGTGTGTGTACCTGTGCGTGATGGGGAACAGGTTCCACTGTTCTGACAGTAGTCTCTGCACTGGTTGATTTTACAGCGTTCTCCACTGTAACTGGTGGGGCAGCGACATTTGGGCTGGTTCCATGCATTGAGGAAACAGCTGCCGCCATTCTGGCACTGAACATTACATGTAGGAGCTAAAAGAAAAAAATGTTAAAGATGACCATCTGGATGAACATTTTAAGTTTTAAGAAATGCATGAGAAATTAATTTATCCTCATGAAGTATCAGAATTAATTTTTTTTCATAAATGCATTCAGTCAAGCTCAAAAACGGTTTATACACAATATTTACAATGAATTCTGAATAACTGGTGTGATCAGTAAAATGGTTATTCTATATTCCAGTGTAACAAGTGGCTTCGGCATTGCTCTGGCTGTGGTATAAAATGAATTAGGACTAGTGTTAAAGCAGTAGCAGACTGTAGGGTCTTACTGGATGGGGACTGGGTCGCTGGCGGCACCTCCGTACAGGTACCGTTGTCAGGGATGTGGTCATTAGGGCATGTGCACACTGGTCCACTGGGACTGAGTAGACACAACCATTCACACTTCTTCTTATCACATGGGTTAGTCACTGTAAAAAAAATACACTGATTAGACTGCAGTAAAAGACACCCACATTCGCAATCAGACCCTAAAAAATGTGTCCAAACCACACACACTTTCACACAGACACTCACTCTCAGGCTGTTTGTAGCGGTGATATAGGACTATGTCAGTGGCGTGGTTGATGCCAGTGGTCAGATTCTCTGCCTGACCTTTGCCAAACTTGTTAACCCGGAAGACAAAGTTATTGGTGTAGGTAACACCATAAATGTAATCCTCAAAGATATCAATGCTGAAGGGGTGGAGGAGATCTGTAAGAAAGAGGGAGAAGTTGATTAATTCCTTGAAAGGTAGTGTATATTATTTTATAGCCGAATATACATTTTAGCTGATACAGTCATGCATGAGCTTTAACACCAGAGCATAACAGTGTTACTGAACTGTTTTTGATGTTGGACACAGCCACAACAGGGTCAGAGCCATCTAGACGCACACTGCCGATCATAGAGAGCTTGACATCTGCCCAGTACAGACGCTCATTGAAGTAGTCCACTGCAAGACCTGTTTTTAGAGAAGATGTATGTATTAACACATTGATTTAATTTTAATACAGTGAACTTATTTCTTGGATACAGATGGTTAAAATCAGCATTGTGCTGGTAAGACCTGTAGGCCACTGGATGTTCTCATGGACCAGGGTTTGTCTGAGAGTCCCATCCATAGCTGCCGTCTCAATCTTTGGATGATTCCCCCAGTCAGTCCAGTACATGGTTCTGAAATATGAAACAGAAATAAATTAATATCAATGAAATAATCTATTTGAAGCAACTGCATTAATGAAACATACAGTATAAGAACATGATGTTTCTTACCCTCTCTGAGGATCCACTACAATGGCATAAGGCTCATCAATCATGCCAGAAATCAGCGTCTTCCTGTGCTGGCCTGATATCTGAGCAACCTCGATCACATCACGTCCCGAATCGGTCCAATAGAGATTACCAGCCACCCAGTCTACCGCGATTCCACGTGGCATCTTCAAACCTGGAATCTGAAGAGGAGACAGGGAAAATTCTGAAAAGTTATCGCAAAGCATAAAGTTGAATATTGAACACTGAATGTCTTGACTTACATCAAGGTTGGTGATGCTACCCTCGCTTTGCCTCGTGTTGCGGTGAGAGTTGGACGTAGGACCTGATGGTGAGGATGTAGAGGGCAGCTGGAAGCAGGAAATGCCAGACGTGTGCCAATTGGTCCAGAAAATGCGGTTGGTTTTGACATGCAAGTCCATGGCATCGATGCGCACGTTGACGTCGCCCTGGAATGCCTGCTCATAAACCCATTTGCGCATATCAAGATTTAGACTCCGGATCTCGTTATCATCCGCAATGTAGAGGACTTGTTTACTAATGTTCTGACCTGCAGATGGACAAAAAAAGTTTTTGATAGGCGATTCCGTCGGACAACTCTTAAGGGAAACTTTTAAAGAATAAAATCAGCACATACTGTCAGCCTTGCATGTGTTGTTAATCCTGGTGAAGTATTTGTGGCAGCTGCACTTGTAGGAGCCCTTGGTGTTGTTACACATGTGAGAGCATATGCCGAACTGCTTGCACTCATTTTTATCTAAAGAGCCAACACAACAATTTACCAAATGTTGATCTGCATGTTGCAGTTGGCGATAACCTTCAATGACATTCTTTTTAAGATGGCAGACCATGTACCTTCACAGGTGTTGTGTCCCACGCTCTGGAAACCCTGTTTGCAGGAACAGAACGTGTCTGTGCCGTTGGAAATGCAGTGAGCCTCATCGCCATCGCCACAAAGAGATTTGTTACTCTTACAGTCATTCAGCATGGTGTCTGCAAACACACAGACAGACACATGAAGTCAATTCAATCAGGATTTAAGAAGCCTTTCTAAATACCAAACTATAAATTCTAAGCAGATTTGATCCACAAAGATTGACACTGGCATTATGTCAAGCTATTAAAAATTGATGGTGAAATGTGTTGGAAAAATGTGTGGAAAATTGCAGTTGCAGTTTTATTGCGGTTAAAATTATTATTTTTTTTTCATTACATTTTAGGATTTCGCTAATTACTTTTCATGACATTGTCTAGAAATAATTTTGTAACTACAATTCCTTTATATAGTGATCGTGGGGTTCCTGCACGACACTGTACCATAAGGTGGCAGCACCTTACCTGTCTTGCAGCCAATCTCATCTGACCCGTAATCTTCACAGTCATTAAAGAAGTTGCACCTCAGGTTGGCAGTGATGCATTTGCCACTGCTGCACTTGAACTGGTCTTTATCGCATGTGGATGTGTGGTCTCCTATATAAACATGAACCATGTTGCACAGATCATGAAAACACTTCTTGAGTCTGATATAAAATCATTGAGGCATGTCAGAGCAGAAGACTCACCACAGTTGGCCTCATCTGAATTGTCTCCGCAGTTGTCCGCACCATCACAGCGCTTGCCACTCCAGAGACATACACGATTATTCCAACAACGGAAATTTCTAGTGGGTGGGCACTGGAAGTTTCCTGAATTACAGAAAGGACAGAGTTTACAGTCTGAAACATGTATTCATGTTATTTTTCTATTTATCACCAACAAAAAATTGCAAATGTATTGTAAATATTTGTCAGGGACGCTGATCATTTTTATTACAATTCAGTTGTGTGTGTGAGTTCTTACTGCATTCCTCAGGGCTCTCATCAGAGTTGTCTCCACAGTCATCCTCCCCATCACACTTCCAGGACAGTGGCTTACACAGAGTGTTATTACACTGGAACTCATCATGGGGGCAGTGCTGCGCGACTGAGAGAAAGGGGAAGACAAAAGAGGGAACGTGAGATACATGAGATTGTATTTTAAAAAGGACACCTGACATATATATATATATATATATATATATACCAGATTTAGACTAGATTTAGACTAGATGTTTTAAATGTAGGCATCTGCTAGAGCCTGAAAAGCTGCATTGAAACAGTAGTTCACCCAAAAATGCAATTTACCTCAACTAACTTGGAAACTTTAGAAAAAACTGTACACGTCATATGGACTTTATATATATATATATATATAAGGCCATTTCAGAAAGAAGCAGACATGCATACTCACCAGAAATGTCACAACTCTCTTCATCACTGCCATCAATGCAGTCAGCATCAGCGTCACAGCGCCAGCGAAGTGGGATACAGTGGCCGTTCTTACACTGGAATTGATCCTCCTCACACTTCAGATCACAGCCATGCTAAGAGACACAACAATATATTATTTAATATAATTATTACAATTATTTAATATTAAATATTTTATATTATATTATAATAAAGTGCTGAGTGTCATAAATGGACCTACTGGATGCAGTAACCACAAAAATCAACCAGTTAAAGAAACCCAAACTATATTTATACTTGAAGAGTTTGGTTCCAAAATGCTATAAATCCATTTTGATTAATGAGTAAAAATGTGTTTTCTTTACCAAGAATGTGGCAAGATGAAAACCACTATTTTCTGTTTCAAACTTTCATATAGCATATTTAGGTTATAATAACATAAAAATTCTAATCCAGATTTAGATTTTCAAAGATTTATTATAAAATGTTACTATTTTTTCCCCAAAATGCAATAAATCCATGACCCTTTTTTTCTTCAAAATGCAATAAATCCATTGAATCGATATAAAAGTTATTTTTCATATTGAAACTGTTGTAAATACACAACATAGTAAGCTGATCCACAAATGACAGCCTCTGAACTTGGTCAATACTAATCTTATATGCAGTCACTGGACTAAAAATACATTCAATCAGTCATCGCTACCAAAATGAATCCAACGGGTCATCTTGTTAATGCTATAAATTAATTACAACAATAAAAGAAAATAAATGAACATACATGAACAACAATATCACATTAAACCACAGAAATTCCAAAATGACCCTTTCATTCAACTTCCAAAAGTGCATTCATCTTTGCCATGTTACATTAATTTAGTTGACTAGTGCTATAGTCTATGCTGTATTAACAAAAACATTAATGGCATTAATAAAAACACTTACACTGACAGGCTACGCAATATCACATTCATAATCGAATGTGACTCATCTGTGATTATGAATGCGATATAGCAGTGATGTAAATGCCGCTCCATTTGAAAGCACGTGATGGAGATTTAGTATTCACAGAACAGGCTTTACTGACGAGATGCGCATGACAATCACATGCGATTTATCGTGCAGCCCTAAATTTGTTTGTTGATCACAAAGTACAAAATAGATGAGGAAAACTAGGATGCCAGGTTCAAAGCGTTTCAAAATGTCATCCTGGACGTGGATTTTTTTGTTTTGCAATAGAATCCACCTATTATTTTTGACATTTTGTTCCCTTTCTGGAGCACCCATAGTTTTGCCTGCGAGTACCTGATGCGCCCCTGGTCAAGATTTTTTCTTTGTTAATGACAAAGTTTTCCATATATTTCAGGAGGAATCACTTAGTTTGCCAGTAACTTTATTTTGGTTGAAAGAAGGAACATAGCATTTAAACTTTAATTAAATGGTCCCTTGGTTATTGCAGTTATTAGACTAGCTATATCCATTTTATATGAGGTGGTGAAGAGGGCCAGTGAACCACAGTACCTCATCAGATCCATCTGAACAGTCATGATCTCCATCACACTTCCACCTCCCAGCAATACAACGGCCATTAGTGCAGGCAAACTCACTTTCAGAGCACTGACGGGGCACTGGTAGGTAGAGAGAAATAAATGTTAATATTGAAGAAAAACCAGAGAGCACAATAACTACAACAACAACAAGGAAAACAGGAGGAAAGAAAGGGACATATTTCAAGGCAAGGTCAAGAGGTCATCTTAGAGAGTGAGAAAATATACAAACACATTCAGGGTTCCCACATAATGATGATCAATTTCCATGAAATTACCAATTTTCCATTCATTTGTGATTATTAAAAAAACTAAAAAAATTATATATAATTTTATAGAGATTGCACTCTATATACACACACTGGGTATAGAAAAGAAGGTCCCACTTTATATTAAGTGGCCATAACTACTATGTACTTAGTCTCTTATTTAAAAGCACTTTTTGTGTACATACATGTTTTTACATTGTACTTATATTTGTAAAAGTACCTGCATGTAATTACATTTGTAATGAATTTCTGTAATTATATTTATAATAATCAGGGTGCGATTTGTGTGTGCGTGGGGGGGGGGGGGGGAGTGTATGAGATTAATACACAATGTTTTTGACCTCATACAGATAATGTATATAATAAACTGACCAATAAATGTATTATGAGAGAACGCAGAAGTTTAGTCACCGTAATGTGGGAATTATGATCAAGCAATATTGACTGATTGATCGGTGGAGAATCGTCTTTCTGCAAGTCATTAAGAAATTATGGTTACATTTACATTTACATTTAGTCATTTAGCAGACGCTTTTATCCAAAGCGACTTACAATTGGGGGATACATAAAGCGATTCTTCTTAAAGAGGCAAACAGACACAAGAAGTGGTTGTAATACCAATTCTTAAGACATTGTTCAAATAAGTACAAGCTAGAAAGAGAAGGAATAAATAAAGAGAGATACTTTTTAAAAAAAAATTTTTATGATGAAGTCAAGTAGCTTCGAAAGAGATGAGTTTTCAGCTGTCGCTTGAAAATTGTCAGGGATTCAGCATTCCGGATAGGGGTGGGAAGATCGTTCCACCAGCCAGGAGTGGTGAACGAGAATGTTCTGGAAAGTGATTTTGAGCCTCTCTGTGATGGTACCACGAGGCGTCGCTCACTAGCGGATCTCAGACTTCTGAAAGGGATGTAAATTCGTAGTAGTGAGTGGAAGTAGGCGGGTGCCGAGTCTGTGGCTGTTCTATATGCAAGCATCAACGTCTTGAACTTGATTCGTGCCGCGACCGGTAGCCAGTGCAAGGAGATAAAGAGAGGTGTAACATGGGCTCTTTTGGGCTCGTTGAAGACCAGTCGTGCCGCTGCATTCTGAATCATTTGTAGAGTTCTATTCTATTTAAAGAAATATGAGGTAAACGTGTGAACACACAATGTTCTTTTGGATTAAAAGTTTGTATGATGTGTAGCGATCGCACTGATCTAAATTAAATGGAAGCAAACGCAATTGAATATGTACTGGTTTGTGTCTCGTTATTCTATTCAAAATATCATTAACTCCCGATTGATTTTGCATTCCTGACAGAAATAAGAACTATTAGTGTAACTGTAATCAAGTATTATCCTAAATAGTGGTAAAATATCGAAGCTATCTAATCTCAAGGTCAAATCAGAATATTTATTGTAAAAATGTTTCTGTAACAGCTGCCAAAATAATCTATATATTTATAGCTCCACTGTTATTTTTTGATATAATTATTTTTTTTTAAACCCCCCCCCCCCCCTTTTGTTCACAAATCTCACTCTGTTTATAATTACATTGTTGACCCATCCCTTACACCTTAACCCACCCTTAAACCTATCCATATCACCAAACCTGTCCCTAACCTTACCCATATCCCACCTCAATAGCAGTAAGTGATTTGCAATATAATATGAACACAGTAAGTACATTGTACTTATTTTTTTATGTAAGTGCATAGTAGTTAAGGCCACTTAATATAAAGTGGGAACGAAAAGAATAACCCCCCTTTAAAATAATCAAATTTTGTTGCTTTTCAACCTGAAATGAACACACACACCATTTTTGTTTTATCCAGCTGTATTTACTTAGTGCAACTTGTAACATCCAAGTGAAAGATATAACATGTCAGAAAAAAAAAATTACTACGTTGGAAAAATGATCACCCCCTTGTGTCAGTATTTTGTTGAACCACCTTTTGCTTTAATTACAGCCTTTAGTCTGTTGGGATATGTTGTCTCTACTAACTTTGCACAACTAGACTTTATTTTTCAATATTTGCCCACTCTTCTCTGCAGAACTGCTCAGGTTCAGTTAAATTTGATGGTGACTGTTTGTGGACTGCAGTCTTCAAGCCATTCCACAGATTGTCAATGGGGTTCCCCTTTTTCTCCTTCAACCACCGTGTGCTCTGTTTTGCTGTGTGCTTTGGGTCATTGCCATGTTGGAAAGTAAACCTTCTTAACATTGACAACTTGCTGGCAGAGGGCAGCAGATTTTCCTCAAAAATTTGATGGTATTTTGCCCCATCCTTTTTTCCTTCAATCCTGACAAGTGCTCCAGTCCCTGCTGCAGAGAAACACCCCATAACAGGATATCACCACCTCCATGCTTTACTGGAGGAATGCTGTTATTTGGATGGTGAGCTGTATTGGATTTCCGCCAGACAAATCATTTGGTATACTGCTTCAAGAGTTGCTGTAGGTCTCTTGGTAGCTTCTCTGACCAGTTTCCTCCTGGCTCTTTCATTCAGATTGGAGTGACGTCCTGATCCAGGGAGGGTCTGTGTTGTACCAAATATCATCCACTTCTTAATGATAGATTTCACTGTGCTTCTAAGCATGGATAAAGCCTTTTTTTTGTATCCATCTCCTGACTTGTGCCTGTCCACAACTTTATCCCGGAGATCACCTGACAGTGTCTTGCTCCAGGAAAGCTCTTTTCATGCTGAGCTAATCAAAATGACCACAGCTGATCACAAGTTGAAAGAAGGTGATTAGCTACACCTGATTGAGTTTAAAAGTCATTTTTAGTAGTGGGGTGATCTTTTTTCCAACTCAGTGATTCTGTTTTTGTTTTTTTCCTGACATATTGGTGTTATATCTTTCATTGGATGTTGTAAGTTGCACTGAGTAAATACAGCTGGATAAAACAAAAATGGTGTGTGTGCATTTCAGGCTGAGATTTTTAAGACAACAAAACCACAGTAAAGACAATACAAACCCAAATCAAACTTTATTCAAGTTTCAAGATCTGAGCTTATAAACAGAAATGTTCACTGCTAGAAGTTTCACTGTTCAGTTTCGAGGAGGAAAATCTACCATTACTCTACCATTTCTCCCCTAGGGGGCAGAAGCTGCAATTTTCACTTCCGTCACATTTTTGATATAATTATTTTTTTTTAAACCCCCCCCCCCCCCTTTTGTTCACAAATCTCACTCTGTTTATAATTACATTGTTGACCCATCCCTTACACCTTAACCCACCCTTAAACCTATCCATATCACCAAACCTGTCCCTAACCTTACCCATATCCCACCTCAATAGCAGTAAGTGATTTGCAATATAATATGAACACAGTAAGTACATTGTACTTATTTTTTTATGTAAGTGCATAGTAGTTAAGGCCACTTAATATAAAGTGGGAACGAAAAGAATAACCCCCCTTTAAAATAATCAAATTTTGTTGCTTTTCAACCTGAAATGAACACACACACCATTTTTGTTTTATCCAGCTGTATTTACTTAGTGCAACTTGTAACATCCAAGTGAAAGATATAACATGTCAGAAAAAAAAAATTACTACGTTGGAAAAATGATCACCCCCTTGTGTCAGTATTTTGTTGAACCACCTTTTGCTTTAATTACAGCCTTTAGTCTGTTGGGATATGTTGTCTCTACTAACTTTGCACAACTAGACTTTATTTTTCAATATTTGCCCACTCTTCTCTGCAGAACTGCTCAGGTTCAGTTAAATTTGATGGTGACTGTTTGTGGACTGCAGTCTTCAAGCCATTCCACAGATTGTCAATGGGGTTCCCCTTTTTCTCCTTCAACCACCGTGTGCTCTGTTTTGCTGTGTGCTTTGGGTCATTGCCATGTTGGAAAGTAAACCTTCTTAACATTGACAACTTGCTGGCAGAGGGCAGCAGATTTTCCTCAAAAATTTGATGGTATTTTGCCCCATCCTTTTTTCCTTCAATCCTGACAAGTGCTCCAGTCCCTGCTGCAGAGAAACACCCCATAACAGGATATCACCACCTCCATGCTTTACTGGAGGAATGCTGTTATTTGGATGGTGAGCTGTATTGGATTTCCGCCAGACAAATCATTTGGTATACTGCTTCAAGAGTTGCTGTAGGTCTCTTGGTAGCTTCTCTGACCAGTTTCCTCCTGGCTCTTTCATTCAGATTGGAGTGACGTCCTGATCCAGGGAGGGTCTGTGTTGTACCAAATATCATCCACTTCTTAATGATAGATTTCACTGTGCTTCTAAGCATGGATAAAGCCTTTTTTTTGTATCCATCTCCTGACTTGTGCCTGTCCACAACTTTATCCCGGAGATCACCTGACAGTGTCTTGCTCCAGGAAAGCTCTTTTCATGCTGAGCTAATCAAAATGACCACAGCTGATCACAAGTTGAAAGAAGGTGATTAGCTACACCTGATTGAGTTTAAAAGTCATTTTTAGTAGTGGGGTGATCTTTTTTCCAACTCAGTGATTCTGTTTTTGTTTTTTTCCTGACATATTGGTGTTATATCTTTCATTGGATGTTGTAAGTTGCACTGAGTAAATACAGCTGGATAAAACAAAAATGGTGTGTGTGCATTTCAGGCTGAGATTTTTAAGACAACAAAACCACAGTAAAGACAATACAAACCCAAATCAAACTTTATTCAAGTTTCAAGATCTGAGCTTATAAACAGAAATGTTCACTGCTAGAAGTTTCACTGTTCAGTTTCGAGGAGGAAAATCTACCATTACTCTACCATTTCTCCCCTAGGGGGCAGAAGCTGCAATTTTCACTTCCGTCACAAACACAAATGGAATCATGGGGAGACGAGAAGAGAGGAGAAGGAAAGGAATAGGTGGTTTGGAGGGAGCAGAGACCTACCTCTGAGTCAAGCCAATGGGTCAGTGTGAAATGAAGCATAGAGACACATGAAGTGAGATGCATCAGTGAGCAACGTGAGTGAGCCATGACATAGGACAAAATACCCACAACACCTCCCAGACACATGTGATGGTCACAAATAATAATAAACCACTAGACTCAGTCCTATAACTGGCTGTCAGCATACATGCAATGTCAGGTGTGCAAAGGGGAAGCAGGAACACTTAAGGTCCCTGTCAGTAAAGATACATACCGCACTTCTCCTCATCGGAGTTATCGCCACAGTCATTGTCATAGTCACACTGCCAGCGGCCAGGCACGCAGCGGTTGTTCTTACAGCGGAATTGGTACGGCTCACATGTTCTCTCATCTACCTCAAGATAAAAAAAATAAATCAATCACTTATATCGAAATAAAAACAAACATATAAAACATGTATACACTTTCATAAGAAATCAACATTTTTAAATGCAGAAAATTAAGGCTGTCATACCGCATTCCTCTTTGGGCTCATCTGAGCCATCTCCACAATCGTCCTCTCCGTCACATGTCCAACGGGACGGGATACAGCGGCCTGAGTCCTTACAGTGGAACTCGTCCACACCACACTTCATCTGAGCTGTAGAAAACACAAACAGCTTTAATTAGGACTGTCAGTCAATCATTCATTTTATTTATTTGATTATTATATGCAATATTATCATCGAAGGCTATTTTTGTAGGAATAACAAAAAATCAGTTAAAAACAGGTAAATAAACTATTAACAGACATATTATAAGCAGATACATATAAGTGAGAGACAAACAGGATAAATCATTTATATACATAAAGAAAGTGAACTTGAGATAAAAACACTACATTAAATATATAATTTTGAGAAATTTCTGAATAAAATCCTACGACGACATTTACAGCAGTACAGCAGTTTGTCTGCTGATTAAAAAAAACAAGCAGTCTAATTAAAGCAGTCAAAATAGTACACTGGTAATATCAATATTTGTCACCAAATGAATAAAAAAATGGCTTTAGAAGTCACGTGTTGTTGGTTTTTATTTTCTTACTGCAGTTGGCCGGTTCGTCGGATTCATCCACGCAGTCGTAGTCTCTATCACACACCCAGACTCGTGGTATGCAGCGTTTGGTGATGGCACACTGGAACTGGTTAGGAGCACAGGTCACCTCAGCTACAAGACATCATAATGACATTCAGCCAATCAGCTCATCAGAAAACAGCCTCATGCATAGTGTAGACATAAAAACATTCAATTTTTCAATTAATGGGAGATATAGGACTAGACTTACGACAGTCCTTCTCATCTTCTCCCTGGCCGCAGTTGTTCTGACCATTACAATGCAAGATTCCATGGATACAGCGACTAGGATGTGAGCACTTAAACTGACTGGGCAGGCAAACATGGATGTCTGAACAAGGATAAAAATGAGTAATCTTTAAGCAAATGTCCTAAAGATGATTATTTCAGTTCTACACAATTGATTAGACATCATACCACAGTTGGCTTCATCGGAGTTGTCCTGGCAGTCGTTGTCTCCATCACAGATGTAAGCCGGGTTGGTGCAGAGACCTGTGCCGCACTGGAACTGGCCTGGCCTGCATTTAAACTCAGCTAAAACCCAAGAACAGAGAGTATGAGTATGTTATATATGTTTGAGGATGTCCATGGTGTCACTCAAAGTTAAAGCCCTGATACTCACGGCAATCGGCAGGTTCATCTGAGCGATCTCCACAGTCATCCTCAGTATCACACTTCCACCAGAAGGGAATGCACTTATCATTCTTGCAAACAAACTACAGTCAGAAAGAAACAAAAGAGAAGCAGAGAAACACAGACAATCAGCCGAGTGCCATTTCTGACAAAAACATGTCCAGGTCATATTTAACTCCAAAAAAAAAAACTTTGACAATTAAGAATTTTTTTTGCATGGTGACATTTTCATTTCAATTCAACTCTACTTCTTATTAGCAAAATGCAAAAAGAAATTTTCTAGATTTATATTATAATATTATAAATATTTATAAATACAAATAAATAATATTAGTAATAATAGTACTTCAAAATAAATTATTTTATTAAGTTATTTTTTCCATTTAATGTTTATTTTTCAGTTTTATTTGAAATTAACAAACATATATTTTAAATAGTTTTTTGTTTCACTGACATTATGTTGAAATACTTGTGATAAATCTCATAATACTTTTGTAGTTAATGTGTTAGCACTTTCAGTACCTTTTTAATGAGACTCTAATAAGAACCATCATTGAGAATAATGAATATTGCAAGTAAAATGTGCAGAGGCATTCTGAATTTTGGGGGAAAGGTTTACTTATTTATGTCAAACTAACACACACACCTGGCTGGCAGTACAGTTGGACAGGCACTGTTTTCCATCAGCAGCCAGATAGAAGTTGGTGGGACAGGCACATTTGTAGCCTCCTCCAGGTGAGAGCAAACACAGGTTACTGCAGCCACCATTATCCACCTGACACGGGTGACCTGACTCTGCAGTCACAAGAGCACCAGAGGGGAAAACACTTAGAAACCACATCAAACACTGCAGGAACATTTCCATTAACAGCACGTGTGTATCTTCTCACCCTCAAGTTGTCTGGAAGGATGATAGATGTGTAAGTCCATGGGTCTGTGCAGGGTGCTAATCAACACGGTATTGTTGGTGCCCAGGGTTTTGTGAGCTCTGTTAATGGACTTGGTCTCCCAGTCGGTCCAGTAGATGTACTCCTCAAACAGAGTCATGGCAAAGATGTGAGGGATGTCATGATTCAGCACTATGGGGAAAAGAACACAAGACTCACATTTAATAAAGCAACAAACAGAATATTGAAATAAGGGTGAAACTTGATTTTATCCTTCAGATTTGAATGGATCATAACATTTATAGTATCATTGGTTAATATAATTGTTCCCATCATCATGGCCTTGATTGCATAGCAGAAAAGAACTTCATACAGATGAAGAACAAGTGACAGACCAAACATATTGACCAATATTTTAATAACTGATTTTAAAACTTTCAGCATCGAAAGCTATTTTCAGGACAAGAAAAGTATTAATTTTATTACTTCAGTACTTCAAATTAAACATTTTCTTTCAGTTAATTGCCAACGCTTCTAAGTTTTGTTTAGATACATTTATTTAATTGTAAAGTCTAAATATTATCTTAAAAAAAAAAAAAAAATTATATACATATATATATGTATAGAAATACATAATTAAAGAACGTTTTTTAAAAAAACAGTGGAAACTATTTTTTTTGTGTGTTTTTCAAACTTGCTATTTGCCAATATTTGGCATTTTTGATAATTACAAATGGCCAAAAAACATGTCTACTTGCTTGATGGTGGTAGAAGTTTGTGTGAATCAAACTACATTATGTTTATAGGATAATATTGATTTCCTGGCATCTCCTGACTTTAGCAGCACAAATAAATTGTATGGTTTCAAAGTCGAACCCTTTCAATCTGGGACAGAGCTAGCATGTTCTTGCGTAAGCTTTCTGAATATGAGGAATTCATATGGAAATAAACCTCCTCCTCACTGCCTGTCTTTAGCACATACCAGTCTCAAAAACAACAGATCGACTGTAATATATATATGGAGCGTCTATGATGTCATCTACTGGCGACATGAAGGCTGGGTCACTTTTTGTCTAAACTAATTGCCTGAAGAAAAATGTCCTCATAAGCAGTATGTGTGTGTGTGTGTGTGTGTGTGTGTGTGTGTGTGTGTGTGTGTGTGTGTGTAGTGTGTGTGTGTGTGTGTGTGTGTGTGTGTGTGTGTGTGTGTGTGTGTGTGTGTGTGTGTGTGTGCGTGTGAGTATGTGTGTGTGTGTGTGTGTGTGTGTTAGCACTTACCAATGTGTCTGTTGGATCCATCCAGGCTGGCAAAAGCAATGTAGTCTTCACGAGCGTCTGCCCAGTAAATGCGGTCATTAATAAAATCTAGCGTCAAGCCGTTAGGCCATGTGATCTTATCTTGAATGATGATGTGGCGATCTGTGCCATCCATGCCGATGCGGCCAATATGTGGCACGTCACCCCAGTCTGACCAATACAGATACCTGGAAATAATAAACCACCAAAGTCAAACAAGCTCATAATGTGTCAAGTGTTAATTCATTATTTAAAAAACAACAACAGCAACAACATATTTACATAGATCCATTAAGAGAAAATACTAATACTATTTTATTTACATTTAGAACATTAATTTATTTACAATTAATTATATATTTTCTTTAAATTATTTAACTTAAATTATCTATATTTTTTGTAAAAAATGCTAAATTTGCAGTGCAATTTCAATTATTATTCACTCATCTGACTCAATAAATTATCTTATTTTGAAGGATTTTCTAGGAAAATACTGATATGCAATTCATTTCAATTTATTTGATTAGTTACTCAGGATATCATGTAATTTGATCACAATTTTAATAGACTCACAGCCCTAGAAAATAAACTTATATAATACATGATGTAAGATCAGGAACTGTTAGGGAACTGAGTTTAGACTCTCACCCATTCCTCACATCCACAGCCATGGCTCTGGGCTCTCGCAAGCCGCTGTTGACCAGTACACTTCTGTAAGCTCCATTCAGCTTGGACACCTCAATTGTGTCTCTGCCCTTATCACACCAGTACAAGTTTCCCCCAACCCAGTCCACAGCCAGACCATCAGGGTTACTTAAAGAGGTTCTGTGCAGCACCTATCCAACAGCCAATCAAACATGTCCACCAGCCAATCAGAACAAGAAGACATAGGTAATGAATTATGTCAGTGGTAGAATCATCTTAAAGAACTACACAGACCTGCACGTTACTGCCGTTGATGTTCATGCGACGGATCATGCTGCCTTGTGTAGTCACGTCAGTCCAGTAGATCATCTGCTCCGCGTAATGATAGTCCAGAGCCACTGCGTTATTGAGCCCCTGTTAACACATACAAAATCAACACACAAAATAGTAACAGTTTGACAATTAGCAACATTAGAAAATTACAATAGCCTACAAATGATATCGTTGGCCTTTTAGGCTAACAGCCACCTCACCTGTTTAATCAAAGTGTAGTTAGATCCATCCAAGTTGAGTTTTCGCAGATAGTAGCGGTTAGCAAAGATTAGGAAAGGTTCCTCATCTGAAATGTAAGCAACGCTCATAGTAAAGCAGACTTTGAAAAAGAAATTACTAAACAACTTTAAACATTTTAACTAGCAATGCCAGTTTTTTATTACATTCTGTATTGTATACTTTTTACTCTGAGAAAGAAACACACTCCCATAGGTAATAAACCTAGAACATAACAGAACAAGGGGTGAGGGCTCACCAGATGTGGATTTGCAGCTGGTGGGGTCGTCGGGACGTGGCACAAAGCCATCGACACAGAGGCAGTGGAAGCTACCGTGCGTGTTGATGCAGCGCTGAGCGCAGGGGTACGTGGTGGTGCACTCGTCCACATCCACACACGTCTTTCCATCTTGCTTCAGACGGAAACCTGGACGACACCGGCACTGCAGGGGCCGGGTAAGGGGCATGTCAAATATTCACTGTTATATGTCCAACTAATTAACTTGCATAAGTATGACATGTAAATAAGGATATATATATATATATATATATATATATATACAAACCTTGAAGCCGATCTTGAGATCTTCACAGAGCTGTGAGCAGCCGCTCAGCTTATTGTTGATACATTCATTTATGAAGCAGTTATTCTCGTCAGAGCCATCGCCACAGTCATTCTGACCGTCACACAGCAATGTCTCGTTCATACACTTGCCATTGGTGCACAGGAAGGCAGTGTCATTACAGCGCCTCTCTATGGATAAAAACAAAACAACAACCTATAACATTTTTGTTCTGGGTCCAAAGAATATCAGTGACGAATCTGACTGTAATGGACATTATTTGGTAATATTATGACATTCTGACAAATACAGAAGTAGAGAAAAATACCATATTTATGTACCATAATTTTTGCATTTACATGGAACACAAAGGAACTTCAACTTAGTGTAATAGATTTTAAAAAGTCCAATCATTGATGTAAGAGGCCATCAATAACCAAATATTTATAAAGTCAATCCAAACCAGTCAGCGATCCAGAACTAATACTGCCACAGGAAGTTGTTCCTCTAATGAAGCAGTGAAGCTCCTTTAACACACTACATTACACACCTGGCACACTTCCACAAATAATTTTTTTAATTACTTTAAATTACAAAAAATATATTACTTTTTTTTTTTTGTAACAACCAGAAGAAATAATAATAATGTGGTAACAACCTTTAGAAGAGTTTTTTTTTCACCTTGCCCTTCAAGGTTACTGTACTCACCTGAGTCTGTGCAAAGTGGGTTTTTGGGAGCTTCATCTGATTGGTCTCTACAGTCAAACTCTCCATCACACGCCCAGTTCTTCTGCTTCAGGCACTGGCCATTAGCACAGCGGAAATCATTCGGCCCGCACGTGGGATATTCTACATTATGAAAGGGAACACAACATCTGACTCACTATATGATTCACTGCGTTGGTCTGGGTGACTAATAATAAAAAAGAACACTATAAGACGCACTAAAATGGACACCACATGCTTACCACACTCTGGCGATTCATCAGAGCCATCTCGGCAGTCAATGTCATGATCACACATGAAGTTTTTGGGAATACACTGATAATTCTGACATTGAAACTCATCTGAGTCATCGCAGGTCTTATTGAACACTTGAGAGAATGAATAAAGAGAAAAATAGAAATAAATAGTAAGAAATAAAGAGAGTGATTAAATAAATATCAAGAAACTAGGCACAAAAAACATTAAATTTGCAGTAGTTTCTTCCAAGGATTTTGCGACTAGAACAATATAGGTAGAGTTTCATGGCACAAAATAATCAATTCCTCTTGCAACTCACCACAACCAGCCTTAATGCCCTCATCTGCTCCATCAGGACAGTCCTTATCCCCGTCACACTTCCAGCGCTGAGAAATACACATGTGAGAGCCAGGACACTGGAAGGCCTCTGGACTGCAAGTCTTTGTCTCTGAAAGAGACACATAAACTCAGGGTTACTTATACATTCCATCATCCAACCTTAACTAGATTGAAATTGAAATTCATTATGGTTAATATAAAGACAAAAATTGAATGTTGGCAACCAAACAGTTGATGGTAGCCACTGAGTTCCATAGTATACATGGAAGTCAATGGCTACCATCAACTGCTTGGATACCAACATTCTTCAAAATCTCTTCATTTGTGCTCAACAGAAGAAAAAAAAAACTCATACAGGTTTGGAACAACTTGAGGGTGAGTAATTGGGTGAACAATCCCTTTAAATAGCATAGTTTTCAGCTGTTTTGAAATTACAAGGTCACAGATATGAGGATAAAAACAATGCTTAATGCAAATAATAAAATGCAACAAACCATATAAGCATGCATAGTGAGATCAGCTAAAAAGTCTTTAAAAGAGGCAAAAAACACTTATATCGTTTTGTTGACGTCAAATGTGGTGTCCAAACAAACTCAACAGTGGCGCAAATTCTTCCGTTGGTAACTCGCCAAATTAAACAGATGCCAACATGGACAGATTGCATGACATCCTCAAAAACCATGAACAAAGGTAAAAGTATGACCCAGAGCGCATTAAATATGGGTTCACTTGCAGAGGTCAGAGCTCTGTTTGTTGATGTAAGTTATAATGTGACTCACTGCATTTGCTGTCCTCATCAGTACCATCTCCACAGTCATCAGCGCCGTCACACAGCCAGGATTTGGAGATACAGCGATGGTTCTCACACTCAAACTGATTTGATGCACATAACTTATCTGAGAAAGCAAGAATAAACAAACTCATTGTCAATGAATCTAAATATGATAAAACTTAATTATCAGGTGTAGCTGTCGTCAGGGTCAGAAATTAACCAGACTTGTCAAAAATGCCCCAGATCCTTAAAATACCTCTGTTTTATAGAGGTAGTGATATAATGAATTCTATTGCATTCTAATCTGTTGTAGTAGTAAATTTTTACTACTTTTCTAATTTTTATAATAAACATGGACATTTTGCATGACTACGTATTAAGGTATTAAATAATAATAATTTGAAATAAATAAAAAATAAATTATTATTATTACTATTAAAGAAATATTTACATGAAGAAAAAATGTCCCTGAAAATTAATTCCAGGGATGTTAATAAAAATGTAAGCATTATTATTATTATTATTAACAACACTATGGAAAAAAGTGTGTTCATGAAGGCAAAAATGGCCCTGAAAATTCCAGGGGGCAAATATTTCCTTGTATAAAAAGATTAATTGCTGTCACTGGGTTTAATGAAAAAGAACACAATACAATTGTTTTTTGCATCATCAGAACAATAAGTACACCAAGTTAAGACAAAATTAAAACAGATATGGCATAAAATCTAACCTTAAAAAAAGTGAGAACAGAAAAATGTAAATTAAACACGAGACATTCACTAACCACAGTGAGACTCATCTGCTCCATTCTCACAGTCGTTCTCTTTGTCACAGGTCCAGCTCATGGGAATACAGCGGCCGCTCGGACACGCAAAGAAGTTCACCGGACAATTATGCTTAATTTTCTCTGTGGGAAAGAAAGTGAAAGGTAAATTTCATTATGTAATGTCAGACATATTTTATTTGCTGGGAGAATGAGGGGATGTGTTTAGTGCATGCTGATGTGTGTAGAGTCTGACCTGGACAATTTCTTTCATCTGAGAAGTCTCCACAGTCATTGGAGCCATCACAGCGCCAGGAGGGGGCATAGCAGAGTGTAGTGAACTCACACCTCGCGAAGGTCACGCCCTTCACTCCAAGCAGATAGTAACTGGAGCAGTCAGTGGGGCCTGAAAGAGAATGTACCTAAAGATTATATCTGTTCCAGAGAATATGTAATTATGTGTCCCCAAAGTTACACCTAGCATAGATTTTGCTTTAGAATGAAACTCAAAAGGAACCTGCTGAATTGTGTAGGCATGGGTCATTTTGTCTACACGAGAGATGAATCAGTAGAGTGCTATTTTTTTAATTGTTGGTTTATGTACGTTTGCGAACATAGTCCCACTGGTTCTCACCAATTTTTCAGCGTTTCAACACCAAAACACCAACATATATAAATAACATCACACTATGTATTAAAAAGATATTAACACATGCACAACATTGTGGAAAAAATTGTTATTAAAGGGGTGGTTCATTGCGATTTCACTTTTTTAACGTTAGTTAGTGTGTAATGTTGCTGTTTGAGCATAAACAATATCTGCAAAGTTACGAAGCTGAAAGTTCAATGCAAACGGAGATATCTTCTTTTAAATTTCTGGGACTTTAATGTCTACAAAAACGGCTGGTAAGGACTACAAGAAGTTACTTCCCGGGTTTGTGACATAATAAACCCAGATAAACCCTGCCCTCGGGAAAATGCAGCAAAGGGGGCGAGGCCATGCTGCGCTGCTTTAGAGGAAGAGAAAACTAGAGGTGCACGCAAAAATCTATTCATATATGAATTATATGAACTCTGTCTTCTAACGATTCTAATGGATTCACAAGATTCAAAATCAGCGGTTCTTAATACTGTTCCTCGCATCGCCCTGCTCTGTACACACTCTGCATCTCTTTCTCTCTCTCTCTCTCTCTCTCTCATTGAGCTCAGCTCCAGCAATGAACTGTTAAGCGATATAATAAGCAATATTAACGATGCCTTTGTTTACAATACAACCGGAGCACATGCCGCTGAGGTGAAGGGCGGGACGTTAAGAAGCGCACTAGAGACAGTTTAGCCAATCACAACACACTGGGCTAGCTAACCAATCAGAGCCCATTGCCTATTTCTGAGGGAGGGGCTTCATAAAAGAAGGAAATTGATCAGCGCATTTCTCAGAGAAGGGACAGAGCGGTGTGGAATATAGGCAAATTATGTGAAAAATAATGCGTTTTTTTTTTTTTAAACGAAGCATTAACACATGTTAGACTGCACCCCATAAACACAATCAAGCCTAGAAAACAACCACTGAACCACCCCTTTAAAAATAAATATATAATAAGAAAATGTTATAATATATACAATAAAAAATATAATACATAAACACATAATAATATAATAAAATGCTACTAATAGTAGTTTTTATTATTATTATTGTTATTATTATTATTAAAAATGCCCCTGAATAATACCAGTTCCAGTGAGCAAATATTTCCACTTAATAAAAAAAGGTAGTTTCCGACACTGGCTATGATGAAAGCACAGAGTGCTATTTTTTATTTTTTTAGTCTTGTAGGTTAGTAATTAATTATACAATTATTTAAAATGAAAAAGATTATTTTAATTTAATATAAAAACCCCAGATCATCACTGTCATCATTAAATACTAGAGAGCTCATGACAAGCTACATCTGAGAGACAGCTTTGAATCTAATGGAGTTTGAACCTACAACCTTTTGGTTTGGTTCCCAGACCAGATATTTTTAGGTTAATACTTACTGCAGTTGATCTCATCACTGGCGTCCTCACAGTCCACCACCTGATTACAGCGACTAGAGTTATTGATGCAGGAACCGTCTTTGCACTGGAACTCAGCAGCGCTGCACAGAGTCACTGAAGTAAACAGAGATGGTGACAGTGAGGAACTATTACGGCTGCACTTTTTTTTTTTCCAACCACGCAAAAAAATATATTTCAGGTTTGTATTTCTCCTTTCCCTTAATCTCTCAATTCCTTTCAGACAATCACACCCTACTTACTGTTGCACGGCAGCTCATCTGAACCGTCTCCACAGTCATCAGTGCCGTCACACCAGTAGCTGTGTTTGATACAGCGTCCGTTAATGCAGCGCCGGTAGCCCTTCTTACACATACGGTTCGCTGCAAACAAGAGTTAAAATGTAACACTTCAAATATCAAGCAGATTCTAAACAGGGTACAGATTAGGAAATGCTTCTGAAAACTACAAAGCAGTGTCATGCTTACCGCAGTAGGACTGCTTCTCATCAGACTTATCCTTGCAGTGGCCGAGACTGTCACAAGTCAGTCTGTAGTCGATACAGTCGCCGTTTCCACACTCAAACTCATCCACGCTGTTACAGGTTGTGTTCTCCGCTGGGAGACAGAGAGATATGCTTTCATATTAAGCTGTACTTTTTAGAGGAAATTAATGGAGCATATTCAGAGCGGGCTTTTAGACACTAGCTCTCTCACCAACACAGGTGTTGTCTCCCAGTAGTTTGCGTTCTCCACGGCAGCTGCAGTTGACTCGTCCTTCTGACGTGAGCAGACACAGGTCCTGACAGCCTCCATTATTTGTGAGACACAGAGAAAACTCACCTGCAGACACAGACATTATTAAAAATTACTTAAAGATATTTTTAAGTAAATGTTACTATTTTTTACTATGTATCGTTATAACAGTGCATTTATACGAAGATTGTCCTAATTACTGTCAACTGTTATTTAGTAATATTTGATTGACTTCTTGGTTGCAATTATGGGCGCTATGAGGTTGAATAAATAAATAAACAAATAATCAATCACTCTTTTAAGCCATTTCAGGGCTGTGTTATTTTAGTATACTATTACAGTTTTTGTTAATATTTTGAATTAGATTTAATTTTTGTGTTTTCTGTTGTCATTTTAATTTCAGTTAAAGTTTTGGTATTTTTGTCATTTTTATTTCAGTTTTAGTTGTAGTTATTTTAGTACATCAGGATAAATAAATGAAAATGAGAATTGATGTCTTGTCAACTAGCTGAAATAAGTTTTTATTTTTGTATTTTATTTTAGTTAACATTTAAGTAATGCAATTTTTGTGGATTAAGATTTACTTAGCTATAATAACGTTGTGCAAATAAGATATATTTCTAAAAATAAGATATATACTGTAGATCAAGATATATTTCTGATATTGCCATGCTGAAAAAAGATTTAAAACATAACTAATTTCTTATAACACACGGATAAGCAAGTCTTCAGTACAAAACTTACAGCTATTGGTGTCTTTGGCCACAGCAACGATGCCCATTGGCTGTTGAGGAATGTCGGCACGTAGGACTTTCATATCTGTGCCGTATTTATTAGCTCTGAGCACAGCTCTGCGCACCCAGTCTGTCCAGAAGATATAGTCACCGTACACAGCCAAACCGAAAGGATGCACTGGCTCATTCTTCAAGACCACCTGACCACAGGTACAATTTACATTCGTTCACATTTGCAAACAATTTCAAGGTGTACAATGTCAGTAGCATGTGTTCGCTAAGAATCAAGATCATGAACTTTGTGTTGTTAGAGTCATGATCTACCAGGTAAAAGTCAAGAACTCTCACTTTCCCATGAACAAACATAAAAAATAAGACATAAATAGAGAGGAACTCACAAAGCGTCGGCTGCCATCATACTCGCAGCGCTCAATCTTGTCAAATGTGGCATCGGAGAAGTAGATTTTCTCAGCACGGTGGTCGATGGCCAGGCCATTCGGGGTGCGGATATTACTGCCAATGATCACCAGGATGTTTGCTCCAGAAAGAGACGCTCGCATGATACTTGGAGCCTGTTCATTCCAGTTAGTCCAGAACATCAAGCTGAAGGAAAGAGCACACAATTTTTTTTTTTTTTTAGTAGGCAACAGGGCAAAGTAATATTATATTATTAAATAAATATATTATCAAAGTATTCAATAATTATACATTATTAAATAAATAAAAACATAAAATTATTGCAAAAAATAAATTACAAAAATAAATATAATTTACTATGTGAACATCACTTTGGCAGTCAAAGCTAAAAATAAGGTTTGTGATATCTGTTTTTAAATAAAATTCTAAATAATTTCTTTATAAATTTGGCAGTAAAAACAAAAATGTTTTTGGTATTTGTTAGGGTAGTAATTCATACTGCATTTGATTCAAACTCTTGGGACTGTAGGCCCAGCAGAATGATTAAAACATAGCACTGCATCATGGCAAATTTGATAATCAACGTTCATACTCTTGGCATTCATCCAGAACAAAGGCTCTGGGGTGGTCGTCCCCAGACATAGTGACCACAGTGTCTCTGTCAAAAGCTGCAGTGCGACTCTGGTCCACAGTGTGCCGTGTGATGGTGGAGGTGGTGTAGCTGGTCCAGTAAAGTGTGTCCCAACCCCGGTGATAAGCCAAACCTTCAATTGACCCTACATCTGTTCAAAGGAAATGAAGGGGAAAAAATGGTATTACACTAAGGAAGCATATAGAGAATCCTGCTTTGACTGCTTGTTTCTATGAAAGGATGGCCACTTCAAACAGGATTAATATCATATAACCTTCATAGGGCAAGTCTAAAACATCTCTTTCAAAAATCCTCATCCTGTCCCAGTGAACAGTTTAATCCCATGACATGTGTGCATGTTGGCTTCAGCGTGCTGTGAGATAGCTGTTGTTGCTGGTGCATGTGTGTGTTTAGTGGTTTAGTGTCATCCGGTCATTTCATGGATGGGTGCCTGTGCATACAAGACCCTTCCCTCGCTGAATCTCTTTAACCACGGTGACTAGTTCTTCCACAAAGAGAGGACTGCTGGAAGAGTCTCAGACACAACGATGGGGTGAGAAGCAATGTGGAGCAATGTGCTTCAGTCAGAGCCATCGAAAGAGTCTCAATGAGGCAAAGTCACACTGAATAATAGTCGCCTCCACAATTTATGAGCCCATGAGGGCCTTCGCTGCATCTATCTGCATCACATCAATGACTGCTTTACGACAGCGATTACTCCACCATAAAAGGGGAAGGACACTCAACCAAGCCGTTTACTTCTGCTAAAAAAACAATAATGATCCTGTAAAACACATCAGTCTTAAAACCGAAGGAAGAATAACAAGATGCTGACGTAACAGCCACCACCTTCTAAGTAACTAACAGGTGAGACATCATCATCACAGAAACGATGATGTTCTGAGAAAAGGTCAGTAAACCTGACAATCGATGAATTAAATGATGATACCTGAACAACCATTCACTGTACTTTGAACTTGGAGGTCAGGAGGATCATTATGGTGCACCTCTACGAGAGAAATCTCACATTAGGACAGCCCGAGGAGAGTCGTCTTGCTTTCCTTGCAGCAGTCCTGGAATAGCCAAGCTAAAGAAATTGGAATTAATCTGAAGAGTCATATAATTGATCATAAGAAGAAAGTTGCATTGGGCACTTAGATTCAAGTGGAATCGACTGTTCGTAATGTAGCAGTCACTGACAGATGCAGGAAATCACGTTTTGCAGGGTTGCCTGGTTTCACTCAATCAATACAAGCAAACAGCAATCATGGATAGCCACAAGGTAAGCACCTTCCATAATTTCAAATAAGAGATGAAGTTTAATAGTTATCACATGTGAGAGGACATTACAAATTATGAAATACAAATTATGATGATACTGGAATTGACTGCCTTGTTAAGAACTAAATCTAATAAAAATACTTTTCTGTTCATTTAAATAATTTCTGTTAATTAAAACAAACTGTTAATTAAATTGCTGATTTTAGATGAAAATTTTAAATGAAAATTAGAAATGTGGTCTTGACAACTAACTGAAATCAAATTAATTTAAGATTTAAAATATATAAATTATAAAATATATTAATTTAAAATATAATATAATATAAATTCTACTTGCCTCTATTATATTATATTACATTATTTTAAATACTGTACTGACTATTTATTCTTTTATACTAAAATTTAGCATTGTAGTCACAGGATATTTGATTGGTTACTGCTAAAGCTCGCTTGAATTTGTTCTATATTATTAAAGGGATAGTTCACTTTGCACACAAAAAGTATTCTCATACCTTCATAGCATTACAGTTGAACAACTAATGTCACATAGACTATTTTAACGATGTCCTTACTATGTTTCTGGGCCTTGAACGTGGTAGATCCCTTGCGGTCTATGCAGGGTCAGAAAGCTCTCAGATTTAATCAAAAAATATCTTAATTTGTGTTCCGAAGATGTAGAAAGGTCTTACGGGTTTGGAACGACATGAGGGTGAGTAATTAAGAGACTTTTCATTTTTGGGTGAACTATCCCTTTAAATGTGAAAGTATGAATCTCTAATGATAACTGACTGGGCAGTGACCCAGCTGCATCAGCTTTCGGACACATTCTGTGTGAGACAAACTTTATAATAATTAAATATTTTAATTAATATTTTGAAATGTCCTTTATATACCAGTTACCATGAATTCTCAACTTCCTAGGAGGCCATACTGCTAAATGCTAATGCTAAACACGAACAACCACCCTGGCGGAGACTGCTTTTATCTCTTGGAGTAAACACCCCAATGATGCTTTGCCATGTGAGGAAGTTATTAACTCTCAAAAGGGCTAATTATTAGCCTGAAGCAGATAACTTGAGGTTGAACATGTGTCATTCTACAATTTAGTTAATTACTCTTCAGTGTATATCAAGACGATCAGCACGGGGACAATATGAATATTAGCCATGATTGTGCGAGTCTGAGCTGAGAACTAACACGGGTTTTAGCTCCCACTCTGGACGCAATAGTCAAAGTGATCGGGCTGGTGGGACATTCACTGGTTATCTATGTCCTGACCAGACAGAGGAGGAAAAATGGACTCCAGTCTCTTCAAGGGACAGATACGCTACTTTTAGGCTTAAGTGCTTCGGATCTACTCCTGCTCGATTGCCTGCCTTTTCACACTGCCACTATAGCACTGGGCTACTGGCCTTTTAGCAGTATCCTATGCAAAGTCATCAGTTTCCTGGGAGTGGCCTATAACTCTGCAAGCGTTTTCACTCTAGCTGCATTAGCGGTAACACGCTACCTCATTGTGGTGTACCCCACTTGGACACATCGCCTTCCGATTGCGGGTTACTGTGATTCTCCTGTGGGTGTCGGCAGCGCTCACCTCAGTTCACTTTTCGCCAATTGAGAACTGCACCCATCCACTGCTTTGCATTCCTATCAGACCTCAGCCAGTTAGTCTACAGTACCATTCTGTTCCTGTCCGGCCTTGCTTTGCCTCTGATCATCATCGTCGTCATGTACACCAAACTCTATGGCTTCCTTCGAAGGACGTGACTGCAAGGTACTGCGCCGCAGCTGGAGCGCTACCAGAACCAGGTGACCAACACGTCGATCCTGTTGGTGTTAGTCGTCACCATCTGCTGGTTGCCATCCTACATCCTCATGTTTTTGCTCATCAGCACCAATAATAGCAAAACACACGCACATCATCTCAATTCGCCATCATCTCCCGGCTGCTAGCGAGCTCCTCAGTTGTAGCCAGTCCTCTGCTCTATGCTTTCATGTCAAACAAATTTCGTCGAGAGTTGTTGTCATTGGGACGGGTGTGCTGCAAAAGTTGCGGGTGCATAATGTGTCCAGGAAGAACCATAGTGCAGCCCTTTAACCCTGTGGAGCTGGACACACCTCCCCAACCATGAAGATTTAATGTGCTTCGGCTGTAAAATGCAAAATCAGTAATGTGACTAATGATGTGCTGAGATAAAGACAATAAATATTAGACATACGTTTGAAGTGCATTGATTTGTTCTGCCAAATATAGAGCCTGAATTACCTGGGAACACTTCGATGATATTATGTAATAATGGATCATTATGTGAAACTGTATATTGTTAAGCAATGTACTTTAGTTGACCTGAAATGTCCATGCTAGTGTTTTTATATATTTTAAACCACTGCTGAATGCATGCATGTTTACTTTTTTTACTGATTCATCATATGGCATATCAGGAAGAAACTGTCTACAACAACAGCAACAAACTTTGAATAGAGGGTCAATGCTTTTTCAATGCTTGCACTGCACCACAGGCCTTTATGTTACTTAATTTGTGTTCTTACTACTTCATGCTATTGTAGGAGCTGATAAACATTTTCAACCTCCACTTTTCATCCTTCAAAAGAACAGCATTTATTAGAGAGAGATTTTTTTTGCAATAATGTAAAAGTCTTTACTGTCACTTTTGATCAATGAAACTAAAGGTATCATTACCATTTTTCACTGTTAGTATTGCTGTTAGCCTCATCCAGTTGGTTTGCACAATACAGAGCAATAAAAAAAAGAAAAAAGAATGAGAAATGTCGGGCACTTACTCTCCACTATGGTCTTGCGGTCAGAGCCGTCATCGCTGATCTGCTGTATGTTACCAAAGTGAATGTCGCTGTAGAAGATCCGGTTGGCTCCCTTTCCACCGCCACCCCTGTAGTCAAAGGTAAGGGCGATGACGTTCTTCATGTGCTCTGGGTCTTCGAAAGGTTTAATGGGAGCATTGAGGTTTGTTTCATCCGACAGGTGAATGCTCTTTAGTATCGTGCGCTCTGAGTAGAGGAGGTAACCATCATAATCCCTGCAGCTGCGGCCGTTCTCTGCCAGCATACCGTGTGCGCAGGCACAGGTACGATTGCCGTTACCACTGTACAGACACAGCTGTTCACAACCACCATTGTTCACTTTACAGATGTTGGTACCTGCAAACGATATTAAGATATAAAAATGAACAGTTCCCAATCCAGCTTTTTATATACTGGGGTCTCTTGGTAGTCTGAGAGCCTGCATGGAGGGGTGCTCATGATTGAAAACCCCTGCCACATAGTAATAAGAAGTTCTTTAGAATGCTTTTTTTAGGAAGATACACACCTTGCTGTCTTGCACGGTTGAAGACTTTAATGTCTTTAAGCTGTACGCCAATGCCTGTTCTCAGATACACCATATCTGTTGCATTGTCCTTGTTTCCTCTCTTGATGGAGCCATTTGCATGTGTCCTATTGGAAATAGAAGAAGATAAAAAGCTCATTACCTGTAAAGTCCACTGCAATATAAAATCTTTGAGAACAGGTCAGCTAAAAAAGGTAATTATAGTTAATAGTAAAGAAATAATGAGTTCACACCTGTCACTCCAGTAGATGTAGTCCTCAAATACAGAAACAGCAAACATGTCCATGTTGTTATTAGACAGCACCAGCTCACGGTTTTCTCCAGTCTCCAGATTTATGCGCTCAATTTTGTCTGTACGAGCATCACACCAATATAGCAGGCCCTCCTACACATTATACAACATTAGTGATACAGCACTTGCCATACTCTTGTGGTTTCACTGCTAGGATACATTTGTCTTTTATTTTTTTATTTTTTTATTAAAATAAAAATTAAATTAAATAAACACTACCATCCAAAATTATGGGGTTGTTAAGATTTAATTTTATTTTATGTTTTTGAAAAAGTAACATTTTGAAACATTATTATGATTTAAAGTAACTGTTTACATCAATATATTTTCAAATGTAACTTATTCCTGTGATCAAAGCTGAATTTTCAGCATCATTACTCCAGTCTTCAGTTTCACACGATCCTTCAGAAATCATTCTAATATGCTGATTTGGTGCTCAAGAAACATTTCTTCTTATTATCCATGTTGAAAACAGTTGCTTAATATTTTTGTGGAAACCATGATAGATTTTTTTGAGTATTTTTTGATGAATAGACCAACGTTAAAAAATATATATTTTGTTGAATTATAATGGCTTTATTTTCTAAAATTAATAAATAAAATAAAATAAAATTTCTTACAAAAAAATGTTTTACTGACCCCAAACTTCTGAACAGAGAGGTGTATAATGATAATAATAATAATCATCATCTTCTAAAAGTTTATTAGCAATCAAATCTGGTACCAGAACCAACAATAAACTTGTTCTACAAAAGAGGCACAGTGTGTTTATGTACAAACCTGGTAATCGATGGAGATGCCATTTGGCCAGCTGATGCTGACATTGACAAGAACTACTCTCTCAGAACCGTCCAGACGAGATCTTTCAATACGTGGATACTGACCCCACTCCGTCCAGAACAGATACCTGAACACACAAATACTTGAGTCTAGGATCATTTTTTAACACGAAAAAGAGCAAATACACAATATTTTCATGTTCATAGGCACACACTCCCATCTTCACTAAACATACGGACACATTCCCTCACCCTTTCTGTGGATGTACAGTAATGGCACGTGGTTTGTCCAGACCCTGAGAGATGACCACATAGCGGAAGGAGCCGTTGAGTCTGGCCACCTCAATCACATCAAAGCCTTGATCAGTCCAATAGATGTTGCCTATTTATACAAAACAACACAATTTGTTAGACACACTAATATACAATGTGTTTTTAATTGTGTGTTTGCACATTTGCACACCTGCAATCCAGTCCACGGTGATGCCTTCCACACGTCCAATGCCATTGGTCACTATATCCTCCCTCCAGGTCTGGTCTCTCTTGGCTCGGCTAATAGTACTAAGGCCCATGTCAACCCAGTAGATGGTGTCATTCTCTACAGGGCAAAAGAAGCACAAAATACAAGTTAGTTGCATTCAGAGCAATTTTCAAACTAAATCTTTGTACACAAAGATATCTGCATACTCACCAGCATGGAAGTCAATGCCCACAGCAAGAGAGGTGCCCGACACAGGTACCAGGGCATCAGATTTATCTGATGGGTCCAGAGGAATGCCACGGATGCCCTCGTGCACAGAGTAGAGCAAAAACGAGCCCATGCCTTCACATAAAAGTGCAATAAACACAGTGTTAAAATGTGGTCATGTGAAAGCAAATGGTGTACATTAGTGATGTTTACATGAGATCTTGCCTTCACAGGACTGCTGGCCAGTCCTCAGACTATATCCAGCCGTACACATGCAGGCTCTTGTAGTTGGTGAAGTTGGCAAGCAAAGCTGAGAGCAGTCGCCATTGTTCTTACTGCAGAGGTTGGTACCTACAGTAGATATCAAACACATCCAAATGGTATTATATTTGATTCATAGTTTGCATGATTTTTTAAAAATTATTTATAGTTTGTATTCATTTTAAGCATTAATCTTAATGTATTAAGACCTATTATAATATTAATATGTAATCGGTCTTGTTATCTGACAGCCCAGGAATCCCCCTGATTATGTGCACTGTTTTCACATTTAATTGGATATTTTTGGGATATTTAGTAAAGTAAATAATAATAATAGTTGTTGTAAAATATAGTTTAATTAATTTTCCTTTAAAAAAGTAAAGGGGAAAAAAAAGTAAAAATAAGAATTCCTCATTTTTACCTCTAAATGCATTTACAGGGTCAAAGTTTCATAAGCTATTTAGGGTTAAATAATCAATATAAATTATATTATGTAATTTAATTTAAAATATTAATTAAAATGTATTAACCTCAGTTACATCAATATTTATTCTGTCTTGCCAGCTGACAATCCAGAAATCCCTCTTTGGATTATGTGATCTATTTTAAGATTTAATTGGATATTCTTTAAATGGAATATTTAGCAAATTAAGTAACACCAACAAAACAACTACACAAATAATAATAATAGTTTAAAAATTATTAATACATTTAAACATAACATTTTATCAAATTAAAAGTTTTATTTTAAAAATATATTTTTTTGCTTTTGCTTTAATTTGTTTAATCTTAGGTCAGACAGAAAGTAACAATAACAAATATAGTAATATAGTATAAATAATATACAAAAAAAAAATTTTTTAGGGTTACATAATCAATATAAATATGAAAACACACCTAGTTGATGCACAGTCTCATTGTAGATCTTCATATGCATCATGGGTGACGTGTTATTTCGGAGAACCTTCCAGTTGCCTCCATCGCTCTTGTCACATGTACCGATCTGATCTGTGCCCTGATCAGCCCACCACAACTTGTCTCCTATGCAAAAAAACATAAAATGTCAGTTAGTTATTTCAAATGGGGTTATCAATGCATAGAACTCTATGAACATTGTTCACATCATCACAATTGTGGTTTTCGGAAAGCACTGTCGCCTGGTTATGTGGATGAACTGTTAAGAGCTGTTGACTCGCACTGTTCATACTTAACAAATACTTCACAAGTCACAATTAAGCTAGAAAAACTTCAGTTCAGTGAGTTGCATTACAAAGTTTTAGAAACAGGTTGATTTTGCTCTCTCACCCATGATGGCGAGGGCTGTAGCTTTGGTGAGTTTTCCTTTCACACCCTCAATGATCTCCAGTCCAGAACCATCCAGCTTACAGCGGTTAATGGTGCTGTTCCCTGAGCTGATCCAGTACATCTGCTCCATGTAATAGTCTATGGACAGGCCTGCCATGGGAAGAAGTCAACGTATAAAAAAAGGCCTTCTTGTACCTTTAGGCAAACAAAAGTTACACAAGTCACTTACCCACTGGGCCTTTCTGATTGGTGAACAGTAATGTGTGGTTGGTGCCGTCCATGTTGGCCATACTGATGTTGTCCCCATCAAGCCAGTAGAGCTTTCTGTAAGCAAATTGTAAAGAAAATTTGACAAAGTAGATATCAGCCAAATAGATCACTGCAAATTATTTGCAACAGTGTTGCTTTAGTATTATTTAGAAACTATTATAGTATTTATTTGTATTTTGAATTAGCTTTTATTTTTATAATTTCAGTTTTAATTTAAATTTTATTTATTTTTTAAATAATTGTATGTGCTTTAGTCATCCTTATTAGTTTTTTATATTTCTATATAGCTTTAACTTATATTCATTTACATTTTAACTTTTAATATTTTTAATTAGCTTTAATTTTTATATTTTCAGTTTTCATTTTAAGTTTTAATAATTTGTTTGTTTATTAGTTTTTTATATTTCTATATAGCTTTAATTTATTTCAGTTTTAGTTAATTTAGTACATAAACATTTATTTCACTTTCTAAGTTTCATTTAAGTTTTAAATCAAATATTAATATTTTATTTCAGCTTTATTTCCACTACCAAAAATTATTTTATTCGTTTTAGTTACCAATACTTTTTTATTTGCAAAGAGCACCATGTTGTTAAAGTTTGTTGAGGTTCTGTTATTCAAGATTTTGGACATAGAGACGCATTGTATTGCTTTATTTTGGTTTGGTTTTAAAAAATATACTGTATATATAAATAAAGCCAGGAAAGTGTCTTCATATCTCAGTCTACAGAATGCCTGGAAAACACTGTGATGTACTGCCAGTGAGATAGGAAATAAACACTAATTTATCAAAAACATTGTAGAGGGAAAAACACAAATGAATGTCAGCTGAATTACTTATATTTTCTGCATGCACAAGCTTGCTATTTTTACTAGAAACTGGCGCGTCTAGAAACTAGCACACTGGCACTACAACAAACACATCTGGTTCACACTGGCCACACAACAACAACAGACTGAGAAGTGCAACATGAGGGCAGTCATATTGTCCAACCTATAGCTCACACTAATGAGCAACGTCTACATTTCTCATCTACACCCTTTACAATCTTTGCCAGAAACATACTGGCACGGCATCTGCTCTTCTCCAAATGTGGCCTACCAAACAAGCTGAGAGCGAAAGAGGCTAAAGAGACTAAAATGACAGAAAGGCACTAATGCTAAGCCTGAACTAGCAACAGTGCATGTGTGAGTACTTGTACTAACCCCAGGATAGGATGTAACACCAAACAGTGAGGCTTGTCCAGTTCATGGATTACAGCATTCTTGAAGGACCCGTCTAGCCGTGCAACATTGATCTGCTTCTTATTCGTATCATAGCTGGTCCAGAAGAGGTTTCTGGAGACCCAGTCTACAGCTAGACCCTGAGCATTAGGGAGGTCTAGCAAAAAATAAAATAAAGGAAGACAACATTTTTATCATGATTAGAATTGCAAACTGATCACACAGGCTGAAAATAGAGCAACATAGCAAAAATAAATGTGTATTTGTCTTGCCTTCTTTCCTCCAAAAAGTGGCATTTACTTTAAAGAAAGATATATTTCACAAATCTGGGGTCGGCAAGAATATTTAAGAATCTATAAGAACAGTAAAAGAGTAATGGTGTGAAATTTTACATTTTAAAACAACTGTTTTCTATTTGAATATATATATATATATATATATA